AATCAAGATTTTTATACACAGGTTGGTGGAGTTTTAAAATTTGGAGATTGGTGGAGTTTTATATATATATATATATATATTTTTTTCAAAATATTTTGGTGTTATGGCAAGTAATGACAAATTTCTTATTCTATCCCATATGTAACTAATAGTAGCATAAGAATAAAATAACTAGAAAACTAATTAATTTAANTGATTATATATATATATATATATATATATATGGTTTTCCGGAAAAGGCCACCCTTTATACCTATGTTTAGAATTTAGAATCCTTATCAAAGACATAAACAAAAAGGTTTACACCTATTGGTATTCGCAAATATTTCTGCTAGAGAAAAACGAAAACGCTATCAAGATATCAACATCTGAAAACTCAAAGTAGAGGAAGGCGCATGTAATAAACTCATTAAAAAATTTAATTCACTTATAGTTGTATTTCATTTCATTTTATGTTGAACTCGACGTTTCGCAATTACTTGGTACTACTCATAAGAATTTTACTACAATAATCGGAGCATCCAATCTTTTAATAAAATGCGAAAAATTAAAATAAGACGATTTCCTTACAGATTAAACATTTGCTTCGAAAATAACTAACATATCATGATTTAGTTAAACAATTCCCTTTTCCTTCAGTTTCTAAGGATTTCAAATGTATTTCAATGTTGAAGGGTTGAATTAAAATTACAATACATCTCTACTTTTACTATAGAAGAATTCATAGTTGTATGGACTAAAATGTACAAATCAATAGAAAATTGCCGTATTTTTCGAAACGTGTGTTTTCATGACGCCTTCATGAAAATTTTAATATCAGGGCCCTGATCGGTAAATCCCAAGACGTTATTTAATTAATATTGTTTTCCTTAACGAATTGACGAATGACTGATCTTAATAAATCGAAAGGCTTAGTAAAATTTCTGAAAAGAAAGATTTTTAACCGAAAAAAAAGTCGATTATGATCCCAATAATGCGAAATAAATACATTTTCCTAAAAGCAAATAATTTTTTCTCTATTTACAGCTTCGAAACACGAAAATTTACGGTGGTGCTGCCATCTATTATTGTCTATAGGAATCAAATATATAATTTTGTTCCTTTCCTAATTTTATGACTGGTTATTAAAACAAAAATTTCTTGGGTGATCTTAGCCTGATTGATTATTGATAGGGGCTAAGCATGATTTACAATAAAAGATCATGCAATTTACATTGGTTGGTTTAAATAAAAAAAAATTAAGTTTAATGCCAAAAGAAATTGTTATACCTAAAAATATTTACTTAAATTTTATCCTTTGTTAAATAAATCGAATTTCGTTGCATTATATATACGAGTATATATAATTAAATATCAGCCATATTAATTGCAAACTTTAAATTATTCAGTATATTATTACCTTGCACACATACATTTTCGAGCTAAACCAAGGTAACTAGCACATAAAACGCACTTCAGTGCTGCTGCAAGAACGCGCCAGAAAAGAGCTCTCTATTTACGCTTCTAACCTCTATTTGCGGTTCTGTTTTCTTAATTTATAATCTGGCAATCTTTTTACAAAAGTATTTTAAATCATTCCTGAAAGATTCCATTACGTGCCATTTGAAATTGCTACTTGCTTTATAGATTACATTTTACGTTTTGTTCTGTATATTTCTTATATTTCATTTTCTGTTTTTTGCTATATATTTTTTTTTCGTACATTTTTTACTTAATGTGTTCTATTTTCATTTCAATTTTTTTTAGTGCTCCAGACAATATTGTATTGATATATTTTGCCTTGGCTATATTAATACAATATTAGAAAGTACTTCTTTCTGCGTATATAATCGTACGAACTGATGACGAGATTATAACTTTTCATTATTTTGTTTTCCGGCTTTTTAATATTTTTTTTTATATATGTTTAGATATATTTATTTTATTAATCTTTTTTCTTCTCTTTTACTTAATATTGATTATTTCCCCTGCATTCTCTATATTTTTAATATATATATATATATATATATATNTTAATGACTCGTGTAATAAACCCAAACCGCTCACCAGGGGGGGTTAGTAATTGAATTTTCTCATTCCTCTCTGAACACTTAACATTAAACGTTTAGCCCAAAAGAGACGTTTAACTCATCAAGGTTATAATTCTTTAAGAAAGACCTATTAACGTCTAAACAGATTTCAAGATGGCGGTCATATAGTGTGCTGTTACGTGACTAAAAATTGCTTATTTTTCTTCTTGATTGTTCTGTGAATGCTGAAACACAAGTTGAACGCAAAAATGTGTATCATTGATGTAACTAAGAAATTAAGAAATATTCAGACATTATTAATTGATGATTAAAAGGGTAAGAGATAAGATTAAACACATGAGTAAAACTGGAAATTTTCTCATTAATTTTATCTCTTCTTCAACATGTCTGGTAGAAAAATTTTTTCTACTACATATTAGTCAAATTGTTTTTACAGAAAATTTTGTTCGGATACAAATAAATAATAGTTTCATCCAAACTTTGAAACTCGGTCACCTGAGAGCAACCATGCCAGGCATTAAAATATGATTTTTTGTCCACTTTACTATTTCTGGAACGATACAGTAAAAGAAACAATTTCTCTTCTAATACTGTATTCTAGATATTGCCATGATGTCGAAAATTATATTTTATGAACTATATATATATATATATATATATAGTTGTGTTTGAGAGGATTGGAAAACCATTGAAGAAAGTGATCCCCTTTGCAAGGTAAGGAGAATGCTGAGAAAGGATAGTTAATTCATTCGGGGGTTGACAAAGGAATTTCGTGCCCAAATTAATGAGATGCAGTGGACAGCCAATTATCGTCCCCAGTAGAAACCTCCAGTATAAATGCAACTGTTGTGGATACATGGAGAGAGAACTCCAATGCAAGACGCTCCTGCATTTGAATTTTGTGGAAATTGATGATGTTATCGGAAAACTAGGAGTGGGATAAGAAAAATATAGGGTTTATTAGCGGGCATTCTTTGTGTTTTTAACAATACTCGTTGCAGCAGTTGTTGATTCTGGTAATTTAATTCCACACTGATTAAATAATTCCTATCCTATTTAAAAAAGGAAAGATAAAGTGCTCTGTGTGCACTAAAGTAATTAGTATAAGGAAAAAAATTATTTTATCAACAGAAAAAAATTTAATTACTCGAAATCATTTACTTTATTTTATTCATTTCTTTTAGTCATTTTCAGAATATTGATAAAGGGGCTTAAGTCTTTTAAGCAGCTATCTATTGATATAAACTTAACTTGTGACTTTTTATATTAATTTTTATATGAATTACTTTTATATTAAATTGATATAATTGTAATATCGTCACCTGTCACTTTTTTATTCGTCATTTTACTTAAATTGTAATTGTAGAAAATCTACATAGATATCTTTCAAATTAGCTTTGTAAAAGTAAGCGACTCTATAGCTTACTTTGTGAAACTTGTTGTTTTCGTTAAACAATGTTATAAACGGATACTTTTAGTGATTTTAGAGGACAGATTGTGTCTAGGTGACAAAATGGCATGAAAATACTTGATATTTCTGAGCAACATAAAATACCAAATAGAAGAGCAATAAGGTTATAAAAAGCGTATTTTACTGAGGATAGCACCAAATCTTCAATATCAGAGAACGTATACTCAAAAAAATTATAAAATATGATATTTAAAGTAACATTAAAGATATCTTCTTTAATTTGAAGTATTTCCTTTTAAAATTTCCATAAAGAATAATTCGTTTTGTTTGAACCGTGGTGGCTCAGAAAATAGACCGTTCGCCTTCCAATGAAGCGGACCAGATTCGAATCCCGACGATGGCTGGTCGATACGAATTCCGAACCCGGATCGCCGACAACAGTGGCGGCGGAAAATATCCTGGATAATATAGATGGATAATGGGATAGAGTCCCCTTGCCATTAGGCTAACCGTGGGTGGTTTTCCTGGTCTTCCTGTCCATGTAACGCAAGTGCTGGTTAGTTCCATCAAAAAGTCTTCCACGAAGGCAAATTTCTCTCAATACTTGATCCAGGAGTTCGCTTGTCTTCTGGATTAGGCTCGAAATTACAAGACTATGGTGTTGCACATTAGTAGTCGTAAGCCCGTAATTGGGTCAGCCGCTCAACGATGGTCATAAAATAAGTATAAACTTCATGTCGTCGGGCTTAAAAATGAATTTAGAAATATCATAAAAGTTAGCCATGTTTATAGTTATATGTAGTTCTCCAAAAAACGTTAATTACAAAGTATAGTAAGCAATTTTTGTTTCAATTCTTGTTCATGCACTATTAAGTGAGGCACTTCAGTTTCATAATTTGTGGTTTAAGTGAATAAAAGGGGGCAAAAATAACAATTACTTACCTTTATCCTGCGTTTTTTTACCTTCGCCATCTTCACTATTTTGTCAATACTGCAAGAATACATTTTGATATGCAAATAAATTTGAGGCCTTAATAATTCAGGAAATGTGCAGATTGATTTTTTTAAGCTATGAGTTTGTTCCAAAAAAAATTATAATTAGTATAAATTGTGGAGCACTTAACAATATGGTGGATAGATGAGTAGTAAAAATGAAACCTGTTAAAATTTCTATAATTAAACACCGCCATTCAGTGGCTAAAATAATAAACATTGAAAGGTTAAATCAGTCATAAAATATCTATTAAATAACATAAAGTGTATATGAACACTTGATTCTTTATTAACTTGAAAGCTAACTAACAAACACCAAATTATTACCAAATTAAAGTAGGAATTACACTACAGTTTTTACAATGTAATGAAAAAAATTTGGAAGTTCCATTAATAATTATAAAAATGACATCAAGTCAAAAGTCCACATTTGGTACATTTATGGTTTTTTAAATACTAGTTATACCTTTAAAATGCTTTTTTGTGTCAGTGCTAGAATATAACTGAAAGTTTAATATAAGCATGCGTTAACCATGATGCAAATATGAGAAACTTTGTTTTTTTAGGAGCTTTCTTTCTGGGCTTAAGGAAAATAAAGCTGTATTTCTGGTTCTTTTAGACTATAAAAGAGGATGGTTTTATTAAAGATGCATGGGCAAATGCAATAATAAGAAGAGCGCTTAATAATGGAGCCTTTTTAGGTAAGTATTATCTCACATTTTACATTTTTTATGTCACTATAATTTTATTTAATCATAACAAGCATTAAAAAAAGTGTTGTTAGTTTATTAATATTATTTAATTAACATTACTAAATACAATTAACATTACTAAATTTTTTTTCTGAGTTATTAAAGATTGCAAGCTGTTTTCCTATAGATTTTATATTAGCAAAATTTAAACTGTTAAAAAAAATTCTTTTAAGAGCTAAAGTTAAGTTTTAAAATTTGTTTTGAAAAAATTAAAAAATTTAAGAATTTTTAACTTAATATATTTATACAGATTTTGCACCATATTTTTTTTAGTATCTAGAAAACTACATAGTATTTGCCCCTGATCAACATATTAATTTTTTGTATTCATCAACAGCAATATTTTTCTGATAAAACCTTATAATCCATTTTTATAATATTTATGAAAGCACATATTATATTTCTTTTCTTTTTATTACATTATTAACAGTCAATATTTTCCTTAAAAGACTAATAATCCATTTATAAATAAATAATAGAAAAAAATGATCTTTATGTTCAAATGGCTGTAAAATAAATTGGATATTTTTCTAGTAATGTAACTAAGTATAATAATATAAAATACATTTTCATTTAAAATAAAATTTCAGCATTCATTTAGACATTTTATACATAAATTTCAAACTTCATACGAAATTATATCAAATTTACTTGGCTAAGAAAACGAGATATCATTAAAATAAATTTTATTATCTGACAAAATGTTCCATAAAAACGGTGTAATATTACATACGTAATACGAATATAAAACTTCACTTTATAAATGCGCTCATTATTTTCAAAATGCAACGTTATAATTTGATACTCTTTTTTTCTTATAAAAAATATTAAAAACATAAAATTTAACGAAAGCATGGTTTTGAACTAAAAACAGTGAAATTTAATTCTTGATCAGCATCTTTCGCAATAGTTTTTTTTTCTGATTGTCTTTTTTCTGAAAAAGTATTACAAGGGAAACTACTCGTGTTTCTTCAGACTAATGCGAAAAGTAGAAAATTTTATTATTTTAAAATAAAAGCTTTTGCAACAGGTTCGGAACATTTATGAAAATTATGAATATTATTGGTTTAGTTCAAACTTTTCATCCCCGTTAAATTAAATTATTAAATATATTATACAATATTTTTCAGCAAGAATATATAAGTGTTTTTTTTCTCCATTTTTTCTAAACATTATTGTTATGAAAATCACTTTCAGTTCCAATTTCACAGTCATATATGGCAGTACTTTTACTTTCGTTACTTGTACAGCTGGTACAAGTAAAAAGAACGTACTTTTACTTACTTCGTTACTTTTTAAATTTAGTACTTTTACTTGTACTTTCGTTACTTTTTTAGGAAAAAAGTACAAGTATTTGTAACGGAAATGTCGAATGAAATCGTTACTTTTTTCTAAAACTCGGTAAGCTTTCTAAAAAAAAAAAAAATGCTTTCGAAATGCAATTATTTTGCAAAATGAATAAAAATATTAATTAGCAAGTTATTTTCATTCATTTTCGAGTTTTATGCATTTGTTTAATACATTTTAAATAAAAAATGTTGGATTTTCTTATTACGTTTTTCAATTTTATTTTTGAACTCATTAATAATACAATTTTTGTCTTAATACATTTTTTACTAAATACATTTTTACCTAGCACATTTTTTACTAAAATTATGTTTATGCCCGACCTTGTCAAACAATGCCCAGTCAAATCTCTAAGAACTTCAGAACTATTTGCGCTTCTAAAAACTATTATAATTACTATTTTAATTCTTGAAAACTCGAAGGTATTAATTTAGCCGCTGATACTAAAATTCGTTTACAAATTTTAATTATTCCGTTAGGCAGAAATGTTCGGAAAATGATTTTCTTGCATAACTTCAGCATTAGCCATTGTTACAAATAAAACTGTAGACTGTTCTGTTTCAACTTATACTGCACATTCAATTATTTTTTACTAGCTCAAAGATCACAAAGCTTTCTGAAACCCCGTGTTTGCTTTGTTTATGTTTGTGCTTTTAAAACGCGTTTCTATAAAGTAAAACAATTTTAAATCAATGGTAATTTAAATAAATAAAAGTAAACTAGAAATTAAAATCAATAGATAAAATTTCTTTCACGTGCAAATCCATAGAAAGTATGATATTAAAATTATATTTGATTTTAAAATTATATTATAATATTATATTATAAAATTATATTATAATATTCTTCCGAATTTAAAAATAAATCCATAATTTTCAAAATTAAAAATAATTAAATAAATAACTACAATTTTGCAAAAACATTAAAAAGCATAAGAATATTATTCAATAAGATTTTAGGTTACTTTGAATTTTCGATTTCCAAGAAATGTACTTTTAAATCGTTACTTTTTTTGTTTAGTACCTGTACTTTTACTTGTACTTTTTACTCGTTACTTTTTAAAATAAGAACTTTTTACTTTTTACTCGTTACTTTTTTTAAAAATACTTGTACTTTTACTCGTTACTTTTTAAAAGTAACGTTGCCATATATGTTCACAGTTGCTCTGTTGCCTAGCTAAAAATATTTCCTCTCTATAGAGGTAAAATAATATTTTGTTATGGACCAAAACTCACATGCCTGTATGTCCCTATTTAACCTTTGTATTAAAAGCACGAAAATTAATAAATAAATATAAACATAAACTAATATTTATTGCTAGTTACAGTTTAAGGGATAGTATTTTAAAACATTTTATCATTTTAAAACATCTCCCTCCACATTCACTTATCGGCCAGTGTTTTTGTGAGTTAATAAAAAATTAGGTGTCACCCAATAAAACAAAATTCTTAAACATTTCAGTTATTTGTTACTTTTATTTTTCGTTATCTGTTATAGCATGGTTTATCTCTAACTTAACTCAATCTTCAATTAGCGTAATATTTACTTTCGAAAAATGCAGGTGGAAATGATAAAATTAACTGCAGCTAATTGTGTACTCTATTGGTATTTACGTTATATGCACTAAATATGCACTACTTATGCAATATACTTAGATATTTAAATAAACTTATCACTATTACTTATCATAATTATCATCATAATTACTTTTTTCATTGAATTTCAGGACATTAGAGTGCCATAAATAATAAATTTATGAAAAAATTTATCGATGTTGCGTGCGTTATATTTTTTTTTGACAATACAACCAATAGGTAAAAAAATGGCTTTTTAATACAGATATATTTTCAATAAAGAATAAGAAAATACTTTAATATATCAAAACTTACTTTTAGGAAGAATAAGTAAGTTTAAAGCACATTACTTTTTTGCTAAAATATTAACACATTTTCGTATGTTACTTTTTAGAACATGACTCAAAAATACGAAACTGCTTTTCTATAAAATTCTTTTACACAGTATTATAACTTCCCTTTCATTTGTTAAAATTTGATTAGTATTTTATCCATCAAGCACACGAAGACCATGTTAAAGAATTTTTTTGCTTTGTTTATACAAACTTCAGAAAATATAAACTCAAAGACAATGCACAGTGGGTAAAATGGCATTAAATATTAATTATTTCTATTAATGATATTTAATGAAGAACTTGACTATCTAATTTGTTGAATTTAAACAGTTTGTTGATGAAATTGAAACATGAAGATGAAAGGTTGGTACTGTATATTCTTTAGATATTTATAGTTTAATTACTTTAACAAGCATTCTCAATAGAATGTTAAACAGACATTAAAATGACTGTTATTGGACACCTATGCATTTGAATGTAAGTTTATTAGAGATAAAATTATTTATTATTTTTGCCGTGTCCTGCATCAACAAAATTCTTTAAGGAGTATTTATCGCTTTGCTCAAATTCTTATTGCGTTTACGTCAGTAACCAGAATAATTTTCTACTTCCAATGAAATCGTCCATCTGTGAGCTTTTTATTCTGCACAAATTTCAAAATGCTTGTTTAGGAAAATGGACCCCCCTCAAAATGCGTGTTTAGGAAAATGGACACCCCTCAAAATGCTTGTATAGGAAAATGGACACACCTCAAAATGCGAGTTTATGAAAATGGACACACCTCAAAATGCGTGTTTAGGAAAATGGACATACCTCAAAATGCGTGTTCAGGAAAATGGACATGCCCAAAATGCGTGTTTAAGAGAAAGAACATCGCATTTCTGTCATCTCTTACGATATTTGTTCTTTTTACTAAAGAATAAACTAATGGATCCGAATTAATTAGTAATATGATGACGTCCATTTACCTTAATCAACTAGCTTTTTTTAAATTAGTCTTTTTTGAAAAAAAAATATTAAAAGTTATTCTTGCATAGACGTCACACGTCCTATAAATTTATAACAGTGGTATTAAATTGGCCTAGTACATGGAGAGAAAAAAATTCTGGTAAAATTACCGTAAAGTATGGTTATGACGTTTCTGGTAAAAAAAAATAGTTAATAATCCTGGTTAATAATTCTGGTTAATAATTCTAGTTCCAAAACACACGTTATTTAAACCATTCATTTGGTAACTTTTCCGTTCATGCGATAACGGTTTACCAGAAATATCGGAGTTCTTATTACCACACGGGGACTTGGTGGCGTAATGACTATGCTTAGTGTTTAAAAAAGTAAGTAAGAAATTCTTCATGTAGATCCTAAAATTGGGTTGAACATATGAAAAGGCGCATTTTTTTGCTGTGCCCATTTCCTTAAACACAAGTTTCGAGCAATGTTTATTTTTTAAACACACATTTTGAAATGTGTCCCTTTTTCTAAACACGCATTTCGAACTATGTCCAGAACAAAAAAGTCACCGATGATTAGTATTTTAAAAAGGTTCGTCTCGTCTCAAGCTGTCTTAAAGCAAGTAGGAGAAAATGCAATTAGCATATTTACTATCGATAAAGCTTAGAACATTTCTGTAGAATTTTACACAAAGTAGTACATAATGAAAAGAAGATAAATTTTTTCAATTATGTGGTTTGAC